TACATCTGATTGATGTTGGGAACCGATTATCTAGCTCATTACCGGAAGTATTGACACATATTAAATCGCTCAAATATCTGTACGATATTTTATATATCATGTATTAGGAGTTTAGGACCGGCGCATTAAAGCATATTAACAAACAAAGTGCAATTTGAAAAAATATTGTTATATCTCAAACCTTTAGAGTCTTTCAGACACTTAATCCTACAACCGTGAATCCTCTCTAACCCACCAAGAATCACGGTTAGATTACATAAGCCAACATATTCTAATAAAATTTGTCATTTGAAATGATGTAGGAACCTAGAAGCAAATCAATTTCCAGGACCAATCTCTCCTATGATTGGGAATTTAATTGAAATGAAGAGATTGTAAGTTTAGTTTTCTCATGTTATTTTATATCTTGTATCTCTTTTTTGTGGGAACTTACTAATATTATTCATTTTTTTTTTCTATGTTTTTGTGGTAGATATCTATCTGTCTTCAAATACTTTTAGTGACCCTTTGGTTGAACAATTTGGACTGCTTAAAAACCTAACTAGTCTGTAAGTATATAGTTTTCTCATTCAAAATCAATGTAAATTCATTTCTTGTTACTTAATATTTTTAATATATTTGAAATTCATTTCTTGTAAGTTAATTTTTAAATATACTTGTATTTTTGTAGGAGGATTAGCGACAATAGTTTTACAGGCCGACTACCTGATTTAACGGAAAACTGGATAAACATACAAAAACTGTAAGATTCTTTGTTTTTCCAAAGTCCTAGCTTTCCTCATACAAAACATACAATACTAAATTTTTATATTGTATTGCAGGCAGATGTATGGCAGCGGTTTGGATGGTCCGCTACCATCTAGTATTTCTGCATTGTCTAGCTTGCTGTCAAGGCTCTATGAAACTAATAAACCCTTAAACCACTTTTAAATCCACTTCCTCTTAAAACAATATTGATTTGTTGTGTTGTGATTGACAGTCAGATTAGCGACTTAGGAGGAAAATCGTCTTCCTTCCCTCTAGTGAAAGATTTGGATTCACTAGAGATATTATAAGTTAAAACAAACCTTTAATTTTCTCATCGTGTATGCAATACAAGCCTCTTCAAAAACATGACCAATTAATCTTGTATTTAGGGAGTTGAGGAGATGTAACATAAATGGACAGCTTCCAGAGTATCTCGGAAATATGACCAATCTCAAAACATTGTAAGGCATCAATTCATATACTTAAAAGAATAAAAAATCACTAGATATTTTTGAATTAAACTCGGTGTGCTGATTTTATTTGTTGTGTAGTGACCTCAATTTTAGCTTCCTTACCGGCCATATTCCTTCATCATTCACCAACTTGAAGATAACATATTATATGTAAGTTGTTGATTGTTGGAAATAAAATAACAGTTTATAATCTATATCTTCTCTCCGTTCATGAAAATAATTTGAAAATTTCTCTTTTTTTATCAGTTACTTGACAGAAAATAAAGTGACAGGGGGTGTTCCACACCATTTCGTCGAAAATAAAAAATTTGTGTATGAATAGATATCTCTACTAACTCTCCAATTATGCCAACTAACATAGGTTTCTCAAAATTGTACTTGTTCTCTTTTTTTATGTGCAGCGATTTATCTTACAACAATTTTACCCTTCAAAATTCGATTCCTAAAGCTGATTGTGACGAAGTGAATAATTTGCAAGTTTCTTCGAATGGTTGTTATGTCCATTACACTTTGTTCTTACGTAAAGCTGTGTTTCATTTTCCAGGAATTTGGTAGAGAGCTTCTTCATGTGGAATAATTCGTAAGAAACTATATGTCCATATATACATGGTTTAAAAAATAATGATTGGTGCTCATGTTAACGATATACCTGGTTAAAAGAATAAATTGTAAGATATTTTTGTTTTGTTTTGTGTTGAATTGGGTATTTCAGATCCAATGGTCTCCCTTGTTACTTCCAACACTTTCCTTGCCTCGTGCCTAAAAGGAAGTGTAAGCTACAATATCGCCTTTGTTTTTCCGGGAGAATTAATAATATATTGTTGATTTGTAAAAAGTGTGAAAAATCTCCCATCTTGATTATATTAATGAATTTTTCATCGCAGATAAATATAAGTTGTATATAAATTGTGAAGTAAAATTGGATAAAAAAAGACATATGAAGCTAATATACAAGGCCAAAGAGCCTCTACGTTTGTCTACGGTGCTGACAAACACTAGGCATTTAGCAGCATTGGGCACTTTCTGAATGATCACACGAAAGGGGATGATTACACTGTGTCCAACACCTCCACATTATCAATCAAGTCTCCGAGTCTAATGCTTTACAAGACGGCTAGAGTTTCTCCTCTGGTGCTGACCCACTATGGACTCTCTCTTGGCAATGGACTCTACAATGTGAGTCTTCACTTTGCTGAGATCATCTTCACTAATGATATCACAATTTCCAGTCTTGGCAAGCGTGTCTTCGATATTTATGTTCAGGTATGTTTCTATGGAATCAGTACTAGCTCACCTGTAAATGTAAATCATAAACCATGGGGCTGATTACTTATTTATCTACTCATCAGGAGAAGTTGATGATCAAAAGCTTCACTATTAAAGAAGCAGCTGGTGGGTCAGGGAAGCCGATCGTAAAGACATTTTTGGTAAATGTAACAGATCATAATCTGAAGATCAGCTTGAGGTGGGCTGGAAAAGGGACAACTTCACTTCCACGTGCAGGAGTTTATGGCCCTATGATCTTAGCTATATCAGTGGAACCCAGTAAGTAGTCTTAATTCAAACTGGATTTCACTCTTAATCTTATCGATGATGGACTTTGCTCGTGGCAGATTTTAAACGTCCAATGTATCATGACAAGAAGAAAATCCTACAAAAAGGAGGAATATTTGTTGAAGTAGTATTCGTCGTTTTGCTCATCGTAGTGATTTTCTTCTTGAAAAGAAGGTGTGCCAAAAATGTCGCGGACAAAGGTATAATAGACTTAATAGCTTATTTCATTGCTTCGTTACATATTTACTCATCATTTTAGGATTTCTGTATGTATGTATTAGTTCATACGACTTATAGTGTAAGGTACTTTTTTATGTCTAATTTTGAATTGCCTATGACCGAACAGAGCTAAGAGGTTTAGATCTTCAGAGTGGAAATCTCACTCTCGAGCATATAAAGGTAGCCACTAATAATTTCGATCTAGCAAACAAGATTGGTGAAGGTGGATTTGACCCTGTTTGCAAGGTTATCCCTTGTTTTCCCTCAAATTTCTCTTTTTATATACTCTATTAAGACTTTTTTTATAAGGATGCATACATTGTAAAAGATCTCAAACTTGCTTTCCTCTTGGTGCAAGGTGTGTTACCAGACGGCAAAATGATTGCGGTTAAACAACTGTCTTCAACGTCCAGAAAAGGAAGCCGAGAGTTTTTGAATGAAATAGGGATGATCTCGTCTCTACGACATCCAAATCTTGTGAAACTATACGGATGTTGTGTTGATAAGAAGCAATTGATGTTGGTCTATGAGTATTTGGAGAACAACTGTCTATCTCGCGCACTATTTGGTTTGTTTCTTGAACTTTAGGATTTTCACCAATTAGAAACCATGTATGCTATAAAAATCTCTTTGTGGATTTATTTTGCAGGAAATAATCAGTCGAGAATGAAATTAGACTGGTTAACGAGGAAGAAGATTTGCTTGGGCATAACTAGAGGGATAACATTTCTTCATGAAGGGTCTGCGATAAAGGTTGTACACAGAGATATAAAGACGAGCAACGTGTTGCTGGATAAACATCTCAATTCTAAAATCTCCGACTGTGGTCTGGCAAAGCTGTATGATGATAAAAACACACACAACAGCAGCACTAGTATTGTATTTTCCAGTGATTTTCAACTAGAGTTCTGAAGGGAAATCATTTTTTCTTTACACTCTTATACATTTCATTGCAGTGGATATGTGGCTCTCGAATACTTGATGACTGGTTTATTGACTGAAAAGGCTGATGTTTATAGCTTTGGTGTCGTTGCCCTTGAAATCGTCAGTGGAAGGTATCCGAAGCATCAATGTAGAGACATTCGTAAGAACGTTAGGTGCCTTTTTGATTGGGTAAACAATATAATATCTTTAACTTTGTTTCTGTCACTTTTTGTGCACGTACATGCCCGTCTTTTACAAGAAAGTGGATGCTTACTAGAGCTAGTTGATCCAAATCTAGATTCAAACTACTCAGAAAATGAAGCAACGGTAATGTTGAACATGGCGCTCATGTGCACTAATATGTCCTCGTTGTTGAGGCCGCATATGTCAGAGGTGGTGAATATGTTGTCGGACCCAAATTTCTCAGTCAGAAACCCGGAACTTAAAGCCTTGAGGAAAGATACTTGGCAGAGCGAGGCCTCCACAAGCGGAGTTTGTACCACTCAATATTATGGCCCTGAGGAGTACATATTACAATATGAAATATCGGAAATGGAATTTGAGTTTGAGTAGCTTCTATCTATGATACATCTCTAGTACCCTAATATCTGTTTGTTGGAAATAATATACGTTTAAGCAAATGAGACTAGAAAGTGTGTCTATAAGTAATTATTCCTCTCCCAGGCACAAGTATCGAGGAGTCGCAACCAACCGGAAAAAGCCCTCCCTCGCCGAGACCTCTGTTTGTCTTCACCGCCAAATTCTCCATCACCTTTCTAGTCTGTAGTTGGCGAGGAGACTTCGCTCTGCCCTCCGCTCCTCCTGCATCTTTCCCGCCGTGGTTGCTCCACTCCGGCCTGACACCACGGCAACCCATCCCTCTCCCGTACGGCTGTAAACTCTACCCTCCTCCCCACATGATTGAACCATGGGCCGACAGATTTAAAACATTGATATGGCCCATTAAAACATGTGGATCTCGTAGCCCAGTAAGAAAGAAGAAAGAAGTAACAGATCCACATGCTGATTTATTTGGGCTATCTTTTTCTTTGGGTTGGGCTTGGCCCATAAAGAGTATCAAGGTTGGGCTATTTAGTGTGATAGGCCCATACCCAATGTTTTAAAATGTAGATTTTTAAAAATAGTTACAAAATTTTCTGGAATCTCAAATCATGTAGTTTTTAGTGTTTATATCCCTTCTATTGTGAGAAGACACAAGTTTTCTGGGTTCTCAAACCCTGTAAGTTACTCCTGGTGGAAAAGTCCAATTCCACTTTCTTCAAGCTCTTTGAGATTGGTCGAAACCCCGAGCATTATGTCGGGTTCTTCAAAGTCACAATATAAAGTGACTTGGTCAAATAAAGAATAAGAGAATGAGTGGTCTCTATTACACACCTTCGTCTTCTAAGCTTCCATCTCTATTATTTTATAAGAACCACACAAAAATTTAATAAACAACATTAGAAAAAGCACACAATAAATTTAAAACTAACCCATGCATCGAAACCACTTTCCTGTTTTTCCTAATTAAGTTTTAAATTTATGCTAGTAACCAATTATATGATAAAAAAATAATATGCTAGTAAACAATTAAACCTAAAAGAGATTGATGTGTCTTTTTTTGTTCTTTTTAAATTGAATACTAAATTGTTATTCAAATCAATTTACAGTGAATGCATCATCGTTTTTACAGTGAATGCATCATGTTTTTGAGTTTTTAGAAAACTAATTCGAAGTTACATAAAACAAAGTATTTTGAAGCTTGTTATCGAGTCTGAAACTACATTTCCATCGCCTCTCCAAAAGCATGGTCTGATGTGGCACGAATTGTATTGTTTCGATTAACAACACTTTTGTCGATCTCTCCATAAGTGGAATAACGTCAACTGGAATGCATATCGAATTAAAAACTTGGCATAAGTTTGTACAATTAATGGACCCCTTTAACTTCAATCAAAATCTTGGCATAAGCTAACTTGGCATATTGATTAATCTAACAATCTCAATCTTGGCACTTAAAGAGATTGATGTGTTCACCTTGAATCTCACTCATAACGTGGAACACGATGATAATAAATGAAAACATGAACACCATAGGAATGTTATGATTTTATAAAGTGACCAAAATATTACTCTCCTTTTTGTTGTAGAAATTATAATTTGTCTTCCTCTAGTAGTATATTGACGGTAATAGTTTAATAAGTTATACAAAGGATAAATAGTAAATATATTCCTTTTGGTTATGAATCTATAAAAAATCTTAGCAAGTAGTATTACAATGACTGGTTGCGGAAGAACGCGTTCATCGTTTTTTCCATTGCCCGCACGGCGCTCATCTGTTCTTCCATTGCCTGCATGCGGGTCATCTGTTCCC